TTTCGATTATTGCTAAGAAATAATTATTTTTATTTTTTGATAACAGTAAATAAAAATTCCTAATGTCATTCATAATTATATTCCAATTATTTCAGCTGTTTAAAATTAGAAATCGAAATATATTTTAATGAATAATTTCAACAAACTCCGTTTGATTTCTTTTAATACCATTTGTTATTTGACATTTCGATGCTATACTATAAAATAAAATAAACTTGCAATTGTTTAAGTCATTTTGAATTAAATTTAATAATGTAAGTTTTAAATAATTAAATTAAGTTTAACCCAATATATTATTCTCTTAACCTTAATTGAATATTTTTAATTAATTTAAGTTTTACATTGATATGTGCCTTAGTGAATGTTTCATTTTCGTCGTGAGTTCTTTAAATTTGCCGGTTCACAAACGCTTCCATAGTTAAATAGAATAGGCTAAGGTGTTACAACTCAATTATCATCTCACGCAGACAATGTAAAAAAATAAGAACGAATTGTGTGATTATGGTATTGTAGAAGTCCAAGTGGCAACATAAATCATGACAAAAAACAGATTTTTACGAGTTATCTTGGTGTTATTATACAGCATCGTGCGCATTGTTTTGAAACAATTACTTTCGTTTATTTCAGTTAAAAACATAAGTTCTTTCAATCTATTAGTTTTGACCAAATAAGCGCAAGGAATAAAATAACAATTGATCTTTCAAAATAAATATAATATTGTACAACATTCGTTATATACTCTTAACCGATGGATCTTTTTTGGTTAATTTCTTGAAATTATAAAATTTAATAAACTTCGTACTGTAGTGACATAGACATAATAACTAAAATCATTAATTATTAAATTAATCTAAGTCTATGTTTTTTAAAATCATTATTATAAAAGTAAAACAATAATAATAATAATAACTTTATCGACATATTGAATTACTATACATGAAATATCAATTACAATAATGTATTTTTATTAAACACTCATTAAATTACAATTTCAATTTTTTTTTTCAATCGTATTTAACTAAGGAGAAGCTATAAAAATATAAATACTTTTAAAATAGTTTTCTTTATATTATGTAAAGTAAAATTACATTCAAAATATTGACATCCTTTTACTTATTTGGAAGCATTACATATACAGTAGATAAAATCTCATATTTTGAATCGAATATTTTGGTAACTAATATTAATTTGCATATTTATATATTTTTAATTAATGATATAGATAACCGTATATATTTCTTGTTGTGGCTATTATAAATATTTTGGAATTTAGATAAATATTTAAAAATAAAACTTAATTAATGAAAATTTTATGATTGGGAATTGTAGGATCGCATCAGTATCAGTTCACTACATTAAGCTAATTTCCAGTGATTGATAACTAAATAGTCGTCTAGATTAGATATAAATATTTGGGGGGGAATTATCTAGTTAAAAGACAAAATTATTTGTAATGTATCTATATAAAATGCAAATTCATTCCTGTTTTCATTTATTTATTATTTTATTAACGTTTTTTTCTTTCGTGATAAATGAGTTTCTATTTTATTCTCGACAATACTGTCAATATTGTTAAGAAAATTTATAAATTATATGCTTACTAAAACATTTTTAATTTTCATTACTAATAAAATAAAATTAACAAATGACACACTCAATTTATTAATATTATATAGAAAATTTTATTCATTTTTCTCTGCAGTGTTACTTATTAAGATAACTATCACTTAATTTTTCGTTAAATAATGTTTTTTCTTTAAATTTTACAAATTCAACAGACTTATTTTTACTTAACAATTACTTCATTAAATATTTTTTTATAAATACCTTTTAATTATATATATATATATTTGTATTTATTTTTATTATATTATTTCTAAAAGTAGATCCTTAGAAATAATTTTTTCTTACAATAACCTTGATAAACTTTGATTTATTCAATAAACTTGAGTTCTCATAAAATGTTCTATATTATTGGAAGATTTACAAATTTCAATACGTGTTTGACTCTGATTTATTTATGTATAACGTATTAGTACAATAGAGCTACATAAAGACTAGAGTTACTGTTAAATGAACTAATGGTAATGCTTGTGTATATATTCTACTTATTCTTCTTCTAAGTATATCATTATCAATACTAATAGTGACGGCTACTTTGGTTACGGCATTATACAAAAAACGTATATACATATAAATTTAATGGGACTGCATATACACTATAATGTAAGTACATATACCAATATCAACTTATGCGATTCTTCAATTGCAAATACATACTTGTCTGTACTGTACTGGCAAATTCCAAACGTTTACTATAAAGTAAATGGAAATGTATGTAAATCAACAACAATTTAAATGAGTATACGTTTTACTTTATGTAATGTGAAGTTATAAAATGTATTATTAACATTGTTAATCATGCTGCTGACCAGATTTTTGCAATCAACTTAATTTATTATTGATATAATAACTTGGCATTCGGAAAATTTTACTCATTTCACTGAATATGTTCCATTATAGAGTTCACATTTGTGTTCTAATAATTGATAGATATAATTATTTATTTTATGTAAATACTGAAAGATCAATACCTAAAACAACATTTGCTTATTTCAATGTTGTGTTGATAAGTTCAACAGTCGAAGACAAGTAGAGTAAAATTTTGGTGAATTTTTATAAAAAAAAAAAATAGTAAGACGGATTAACAAAAAGGTATTGTAAATACAATTTTATACTTTTAACGTAACATTACTTTCTTTTTCTTCAATTTTATGGTATACTTTTCGTTTGCAGTGCTACATTTTAGAGATATTTTAATATAAATCATTTATATGCTTTATTTTTTTAAATCTATTATTTGTAGTCGTAGATAGCTAAATGTGATTCGCGTCGTGTCACTTGTCATTCCCCGTTCGTCTTATCAGAAGTGGTTATTGTGATGAAATCTACACGACTATAGATGTTACTAATGATTACGATACATAAACTACAGTAAAGGTATTTACATGGACGTCGGGTTGTGTGGCTCCCCATAGAATTTTAGCAAAATTATATGCATTTTTCAAAGAAATAATTTTTTTGAAAAAAAAATTTAATTTAGACCCCTTGAAAAATATAATAATGAATATTATAATGTTATTATTATTTATGATATGCATGTATACTATACGCCTAAATAAAGTGATAATTTATAGCTTACTAGAAGTCCAATCACTACTTTAGATATTTATAGGCACTACACACTTCATAAATGGACTTACCATCAGCATTATTTGTAACGCATCAATTATTATATGGTACGCAGCATCATAAATATTGCACACGTGCATTAGACTTTTAACGACCGTTCAAGTCTCCTGCGCCCTACGGCCAACACTCATCTTGATGTTGCACTATTCTGATCTCATTATGCTAAGTATTAACCAAGTAGAATACGCCATGTGGTTAAAAAAAGTTCAATACTATTTAGTTTGTACCATATAAATCTATGAAATAATTCTAAAATCGAATAAAAACATTTAACTTTAACAGAAATGCATTAAATCACGGAAAAGGTCTCGTGTTTCGTATTAAATTAAAATAAATCAGATAAAAACATGTTTAACAGTATAGAAAATGCAAGTCTACAAATGTTGCACTAAAAAATGTAAATTTGTTTAGGTCGTCCTAATATTTGTAATATAGTGATTGAGCTCAAGTATTACACTATCAGATGTCTGTTAAACGAATTTCGGTGTTAATTAGTATGCAAATGAGGGGCGGCTATCACTTGTTTATGTAAAGAGTATTTAGAAACTCAAAGTTGGATTTCATTAATTTTAAATAACATACAGCATAAATAATTATGCGATCAGTCATAACATTTGGTCTACTAATGATGACTGTATTATGTGATTTTGAAAATACTGTTATTAATCATTATAAAATTAACAGTATAATATTGTACTTGGTGATGATTCTGAGAAGAATGAAAACTGTAGATTTAACTCCCAAAAAATTTACATATAACTAGCTCATTTTATGAACGATTAGTTTTTAAATGATCAACCAAGAAACATTTCGAAATATCAAGCTGTTTATTTTGATAAGCTTTTATTAATAAGCATTTGATAGGGATAAATTCTGTGAATTTTTATCTTTTTTAGTTGAATGACTTTATTTTCAACCATGTCGATTTATCGTATTTATTTATCGTAAATATTAAAATCGAGTTTATATTTATAGTGACGTTATTTACAATCCCACTCTATTGGTTTTTAAAATAGAGATTATCGATCAACGATGCAAGACTTCTCCACTAATTTATCAATCGAATTATATTTCAACTAAAAAATAAAACGTAATACCTGTATAACTCAACGCGTGTTTTCCAAGAAAAATACGCATCACTATTTAATTGATATTATATTTAAACATGTTTTGATCGTTTTTAGATTCTTGTTAAAAAAAATTGATTAATATATCTGGATAACTTATAAACGCATTTATTTATATGAACTATAACATTTGTAAAACATATTAGGTACTTATACAATAGTAATAAAAACTTTTAAACATAACACTTAATAAAATTATAAATTCGAGTGGTTTGTTTTTTACTGATAAATTCAAATAACAATCTTAAAGGTTAATAATTTAGAACATAACGAATTTTGTAGGTAAAATATATAGATAACAGCATTATGAAGATTTCTAAAAATATATTGGTAACTTAAACACACGAGATTCGGATAATCTCAGTTAGACTAAATAGCATTATAATTAAAATAATCTAAACAAAGTATACATTATATTTAACTAATATTAAACAAGATTCTTACATTCAATTACTAATAAAATATAATTATAATATTTTCACGAAATAAAATCTAGTAGCATAACAAAAAAGTATATCTTTATAATTATAAAATTAAGTTTAGCATGCATTTCATAATAACTATTGAATTTGTTTATAATAACTACATTACATATTTATTTTTCATCATAAATATTGTGTCTTCTTTTTTTTTTTTTTTTACTAGCTTTTCAGTATTATTTTGTTTACGATTTACTTAAATGCGTTTACTTATTGGCTTCTGCGATCATTTTTGTATGAATAAGTAGGTACAAATTTCCATACGATTTATACTTGCGAACAAACTAAATGTGCATTAATTTGTTTACAATAAACTTTATTGATATGCCCTATAGGTAGCACGTATATCATTAGAATAAAAGATGCTACAGTAATAATTATAATGGATATTTGTATTTGATTTATATACAATTTTTTTTGTGGTCGTAGAACGCGATCGAGGAACCGGTTTGCGAGAAAACCGTATATTATCGAACTGGAAGTTAAAAAAGTATATAGCAGTATATACACAACATATGTATATAAGTGAAAAAACATTAACATTATACATTATTATATGTAACGATATCATCGACCGGTTTTTGTTCTGCGCAGAATCTAGAGCATCCTGCTCGAGTCTTAACGCGTTTTAAATATTATGGTAATGCAAAATGCACTACAGGTAAATAGAGAAACTGTTTTCTATAGTTACTGCGTACACCAATTCATTTACCATTTGCACACGCAATCATTCTCCTTACAACCTTTTTCTTTAGATAATCATTACTGATGAACAATGCGTGAAGATGTCGTCAGGGCATAACAATAACATTTCAAAAGCGTATAAGCAAAAACATCGCTAGAACTAACAAGTAAGCCATGGATCAATATTGTTGAGTAAATGTGTATATGTACATTACAATTAACTAGATTCGCCCTAAAAATTATATAAATCTTAAATGATTAAAACCAAATTTACACTTCTATACAGTAATAATAAATCTACAAAGTATGTGATTTGAACGGTCGATTAAAAAATAGATAGTATTTATTATGGGTAATGAATACGTTTTAGTTAAGTAGAATATTTAAAATGTAATTGACGCCAAAATATTTCGTGTCAAGTATTTATAAACCTTACAGAAAATGTCAGCTGGGAGCCAAATTGTCAATAATAATATTATACAATATTGAGTGAAACAAAACGAGTGCTCAAAATATCGTTTCTTTGTTAAACATAACACGGACGTGGACGTGTTTGTCGGTGCAAAACATGAATAAATCTTCTTAATGATAAACGACAATTAAATTGACGATATTTAACAAGGAATACTTTTACCTGTATTGGCGGGTAAAGACGGAGAAGAATTAATGATCTCGTGGGCATTATAACATATTATTAATAAATGAGTTAACACTGAGAGAGATCTACAGCAATCTCAAGATCTAATCGATCCAAAAATAAAAACGCGATCGGCGTGGTTGTGTTTTCAGCCCTTTACCGTTTCAGGCGTTGTTCCGGCCGATCCGCGTTGAAAGCGAAAACACGGCGTCAGGTGTTGTTGTTGGTCTCTTTCTCGTTGACCAACGAGGCGGCCAAGTCCTTGTTGGGCGACTCCGACGAGGCGCTACCGGCCGACGACGACGAGAATCGTTCGTTTTCGGCAGACCCGCGGCGGTACATGCACAGCGGTCGAACGAGTTGTTGAGGATAAGGCGAGTGCCGGTTGTGGGCGGCCAGGACGGCGGCTGCCGTTGCGAACCGGCTCCCGTCCTCGCTGACTTTACCCATGAACGACCGGATCTCCTCGAAATAGGAATCGTCGCCAGGCCTGGACCTCCGGTGTTCAGCAGCCGCCGCGAGCCTGTCGTCCATGATCGTGGGCCCGTCCGCTTCGTGCTTCTTCAGATGCCTGTCCAAATTGGTCTGCTGGCCGAAACACCGTTCGCACAATGGACACTTGAACGGTTTTTCTTTATTGTGGATGTTTCGGACGTGTCGCTGCAAGTTTGACGATATGCTGAATGACCGTTCGCAATAGTTGCACTTGTATGGTTGTTCCCCTGTGTGTGTCCGCAAATGTCGGGTCAAGTTAGCACTTCGAGGGAACACTTTTTGACAGAACTTGCATGAATATCTAAAAAACAAAAAAATAACCCGTCAGATACATTTTTTTAGACATTTAAACACTAAACTTGAAAATTTGAATCGATTCTCCCGGCATTTAAAATGCAAAGAGTCGATTAATATCTGGCAAATATTTATTTCAAAGTAAATAAATATTAAGAAATAAACTTATGGTAACAATTTCAAGACATTTTTTATTTATAACTTGTTTTCTATTTAAATTCCCTCATTATAGAATCGATGCATTCGGAGCTTTCACGCTTCTACACCTTGCACAATACGAATCCGTTTATTATGCGACTCTCATTGGTTCAACTCTAATCCACTTTTTGTACATAAAATGTACTTCCTATAAAAATAAAACGCGTTTCCTTTTAAATTTCAAGGTAATTGTTTACATTTGAGGATACAAAGTAAAATCAAACTTCTGACTAAATTAATCATTATTACTTTGACATCACCTTACGTTTATAATGTTCAATCATTTTAGTCTTTAAAACAAATGTCTACCGTGGTCTATTGTAAATAGAAAGTAAAATATTTAAAATTAGCAAACAGTACACCTTGAAAGGGGGAAAAAACGCTTATCTCTCATGAAACACCTTGTACGTGATCATTAGATATTTGAAACTTGAAACTTCCTATGTTGTTCAAACAAGGAATCTGGCATTGAGCCTGTATTGTCTCTTGTGAAAAATTATTTTCTGATTCAACGTATTAAACTAACTTCAAAGTATCTATGCGGATCTTATGACTCTAACATTTAATAATTTCTCAATAGTTTTTATTCTATTAATATATTCATGGCGAAGTTTTAAGACTACAATTAAATGGGTTTTTACCTGTCTTTGGGTTTGCCTGGAGACTCCTGGAACGTTTTTTGCGGAGATCTAGTTACGGGTGCCGGTGTTGGTCTGACAACATCGTACGTAGGCGGTGGCACATGATGATGCCCGTTGAGCAATGAAGCGTTGATGAATGGATAGTGCGATGGCCTATGGTAGCCACCACCGCCGCCGGGTTGGTATCCGCCCAAACCGGGCACCCGTGACTTATCGCCTACGCGATAAATAGCTTCTAACATCATAGGGTGCAGCGGTTGTGGCGGGAACAATACCGGATAGTTAACCATCCGTCTAGTGCATTCCTCATCCATTGCCCGCCGATCGTCGTCCTTGTCCGAAGAGCATGGACTGTTAAATACCTGCGATGGAGGCGGTTGTGGGGGTCCCGGACTGTCCACTTGTATGTCTTCGGGCGACGGAGTTCTGATGATCAAATTTTGATTTTCGTCTTCCATCTCGTCCTTACGCGATTTCTTATGGTCGACTCTCAAGTCCAACGGTTGATCGTTGTTGTTCTCGTACGGCTTGAACGCAGCCGGTGACATGCGATGCGACGGTGATGGCGTACGCCGATCACTTATGCTATTGTTGTTGGAGTTATTGCTGCTACGGGACAAATCGAACGGCATATTGTCGGGGTGATCGGCCGGACCACTGGTGGGATACACGGACGCCTGTTTGGGTGACGTGCAGGGCAAAGGAGGCATGACCATTTTGCGAGGGCTCGAGTGCTTCTCGCGCATGCTGGCTTCACGCGGCTGGGTAGCTGGTCGTGGGTAGTAGGTGTACCACGCCGGTGACGTGTCCACCACGCTCATCACTTTGGCCACGCCGTCTATAATTGAAAAAAAAAACAACATTAGTACACGAAGCATCGAGGAAGTGGGTAATTGTTTTTTTATAAATAAACACATAACGGGTGTTAATTTAATACAGAATGATGATTATTACCATTATTGTTGTTGTGGTTTATCGCGGTCGCAGTTACAATGCGTCCGACAGTTAATCTAAACAAGCCAATAAATTGTGAACTTACAACGTGACACAATGTCAACGGCTGGTAATGGTCGTAATAATAATTGCAGACGGTCTACTGGAAGACTGGCAACAATTTTAACGAGAAGCGCAACGCAAAAATTTGGCTTGTATATATAAAATGGAACGTGCGGCGTAAACCCGGCAGTCCTGAGGATTACATGTCGCGTTGGAAAGTATAACGTTCGATTTTTTATTAAATCCACCAAGTTTGACGACTTGGCGGTAATAGAAACAAAAAAAAAAAAAAAAAATAATATATAAACCCGTTGCTCTGATTTTCTCCTCCGTCGCCACTACCGCATATTATTCTCTACATAACAACTAACTTCCAATTATATGAAGTGTATTTTATTCAGTACACATTTTTTAGTGTCTGAATCCGGATCGTTGCAATTTTTTCCTCATTTGTAATTTATTTAATTTTTTTTTTGTTCATCTTTTCTAGACATGTGTTTGAACTTTTCGCTAACGAGCGTCCCATGACGAAACCCGTTTATCGCATTTCCAAATCTGATTCGGGAAAGCATTAAAAAAATAAAATAAAACTAAACAAATACTGGCCAGATTTTTACGCAACAAGCGTTCGCGTTCCTCTTCATTATTAGATTTTCGTGTCATATTATATAAATTTTTTATGGCGATTCTTGACAAAACTGGATTATTTTATTTTTTACCGACAATTTTTAAATGTCGTTGTAGGCGCACCCAATGTGTTTTTTTTTTTTAAATCTAGACCGGATCGACTGATTGAACACAGCTGTTGAATGAATCGAAACGTCGTACACAAATTATTGCAACATAAAATCTAACTGATGCGCTGCTATAAGCGCATTAATGGTTTAAGTATAAACTAATAAAGATCGTGAATCTGTCACATAGAACTGTAAATGATTCATATTTATGTTAACGTTCAATAAAACTATGCAAGTCGACAAAAATCAGAGAGTTGAATGCACTGGTTTCCACTCTGAGTTACTAACTTCGTCCTTGCGAGTTCTTGCGAGGGACCTAATATTGTACCGGAAACCGTAGAAGACCAATTTCCAAAGTAATAATGTGAATACATTACTTGAAACAGAAGGTTTAACGGATAGGTGAAATAACGATTTAGGTTCAGAAAATTAACGAAAAACGTTTCTAATCTAAAAAAATCATCGATTTCAATTTGTATTCTAACAAATGTGTTGTTACACATTCTATCAGGTGGTAGACATGGTGGTATACCTTATACCAGTGGGGGAAATTGTCAGTGACCCGTTCTTAAATTTATTACCCGGCTACTGATTCATAAATCCAATATCATCTCCATACAGACTATTTGTATATAAGTTGTATACATTTGAATAGCAATAAATACACATTGTGTACCTTCATATGTTAGTAATTTTGTTTAAAACAACCGTATATGGTTGAGTTTGACATCCTATCATTATTATAGACCTAAAGAAGTATATTTCACATGAGTCCATCAGTGACTTAACGACAGTGTACCTATTTTGTTTTATTATAACTATAAATTCGAACTAACAACCAACTAGATTCCATTTTTTTACAACGTAACTATAATCCTCTCGATTTGAGGCTTTTTTATTGCATATATTTACCGGTATAGCGTAATATTGTTATTGTTTTATGGCCTCCGGTAAAGGGTGTTAACGTAAAAGGAGAAAACAATGCATGGTGGTGCAGTCTACGTTTCGAACGAAACAAATTCTCTTGTGTTTAATTAAAAAACTACTCTACTTTTACTCGTTAGTTTTATTTATTTATTTTTTTTTTGATTACACTCACGATTTGTATCATCGCTGTCGTTTATTCGTTCAAGCGTCTCCTCTTCTGTCTGTTCAATAAACGGCGTCATAAGTACCGAGAAAAAACTTACTCGAGATAAAAAAAAAAAAACTATTACAAGATAACGTTCTGAGAAAAACTGTCACGTGGAGGAGTACGATCACTTGAATGAATACGTTACCAGAACTCCGACGAAGACGATGATGACTATGATTACCATGATGACGATGACAATAATTTACAACACATGGATTTTATAAACACTGTGATAATCAATTATACGCACTGGTGAAATACCCGCAAACTCGTAAATCTTCTCCGGATGACTCGAGCGGACGTTTTCGATCGTGTTAGCCCGAGGTAATGTGTGCTGTACAGCTCTTCTTGTTGTTGTTGTTCTTCTTCTTCAGCGTGCCCGTACGCTGGCAATGTGTTGAGTGCCACGCGCTGGCATCCATCGCGCTAGACAATAATAATAATAATAATAACAACAACAGTCGTTGCTTATTTAATCTCGTTGTGCATAAGTCGCACGTGGTGGTTGTCTTGTGGTGGTCGGTGCAAGTGGTACGAACCAATAGCAGTGTTACAGCAATACGAATTTAGAACAAAACAGAAAATACATAGATCCAATCCCGCGGCCACAGAAACGATGATTACCCGGAGGCCGATGCTTGTTGCTCAACCTCGTGATCGTCGCCGCTGCCGTTGCTATTGTACAGGTGCTATATGGGGCATTGTTCGACAATTACCGGGCACGTGCTTTGCCTTGGTTATTATTGCGGCACACGATGTCTCCTCCTTCCCATGTGCAGCAACTCCGCGCGATTTATATTATTGAGAGTATACCTTTTGCTGCGCCATTACTTCTAGTTGTGTTATCCATCGCTATTATTTTTTGTTTTGTTTTCGCACAACGTTTTGTAATAGTCCATCGACAACATGCCGTCTTAACATTATTATTACTAGCTGAGCGATTGCAGGGGCTACCTCCTATTTATTATTGCCCGAGTTATTTCGTTTGTGTGCGCAATACCTAAGCGTGTAATGATATTGAGAACTAGAACGACTATTGCCATAACAATAATAACAGCGCAATGTGATTATCGAACGAAGAGCAATAAAGCTGTTGCACCCAGAGAAAAACCTCGATCTATATAATAAATTCATTGTTCAATTTGATAAATATATCATTACTATTGAATCTATGATATATTTATCAATATGATGATTTTTTTTCTTATCTTGAACAATAATTATTCATAAGAATAATTATTTTGTTCGTATTAATAAAACATTATCATAAACCCTTGATAAAATTTCTCTATCAAAATTGATTGAGGTTTTTCTTTGGGTGTGTAAGGGAAATCGACATGAATGGATTATGAAGAATTCGTGAGAAACAAGTAAAATAATGGTCAGGAAACTAAACGGTTTTACTTTTTTTGGAAAGATTACATTTTTTTAACATATCTGTCACTTGAAACACAAAGATACGTCCTTTAGCGTTCACTCGCCGTCTATGCAGTCATTGATGAATACCTCCATCTATTGGAAAGTCCATTTACCAAGATTAGTTTCACGATGCCACCGTTGCCTCATTCGTCTTAAGTCACCCTAAGGCCTTCGGGATTTCGGCGGGTATCTCTACAATAAATGGAGACGGCTCAAGCACAAAGATAGTACACCGTGAATATAAATCATGTTTGCTGTGGTTGCGACCACCGAATCGCAATAAATAAGAGGCACTGGGCGCCTTAGGGTCTTTGCATTGAAGATCCGGATCCTCCCAAAATCATAATAGGTAATCGTTTCATTTATTATTAACTAATTTTTTTAAATAATAATTTGTTTAGCCCGTTTGAACCAGAAATTTACGTTTATGTTCGACACGCAATTTACATCTTGTTACTCCGAAGAGTAACAACCTATTTTTTATTTATTTTTATTTCTCTCGCACACGGCGGCGGTTCGTTCGATGTAATAAAGTAGACGCGAGCGATTCGCCCACGAGCCGTTTATACACTTATCGGTAAATTAATACACGCGATGCTCAAGTATGTTTTCAGTTCATATTCATTGCCGACTCCGTACAGTCAATGGAAACAATCGGATCACCTACAACCACTGGGCATGTTATTGTTAACGCATAATCAATTTAAAAGACGGATTCATTATATTGACTTGAACAGCGTGACATCAATGAATTTTATTTACAGTGGCGTGTTTTATTTTTAACAATATCAGTAAATTTCTATATAAATATATCTAGTAAGGTTTTCTACGGGTGTGAGCTAATCATGTTTTTTGCCGACCATTAATGAGTTAGATGTATTTTCTTTTTCAGTTAGTCTGCAAGTAAATTCAGACTACAATGTTGTGTTTAAATAGATTGGGTTTTCGCTTAATGATATGCCTAGTTTCAAACAGATGGCAAATAACATGACCACCGCATATATAAGAAAACAATATTATTTTGCTTTAGATAGAAAACAAAACTTAACAACCGTGTCGTGACTGTGGTGTTATTAAAACTATTATGTGTAGACTGTGGTATCCAGTGAAATCACGTAACAAAATATTGTAGCAATAGGAAAAAAAACTTAATTAGAGTGATATCCAGCAAAAATAATTTTTAAAAAGGAAAATTATACGCTTTGTCAGATTTAAATAGGTATATCACCAGAACTTGTGATTATCCAAAAGTGCAGGTGTTTTTTAATGTATAATTATAAAATTTAGGTACATGCCAGATAACCCGGTGGTCATTTTCGGACAGTTATGATTAAACCCGTACCAGTTTTGGTGTGGAATCATAAGCGAATGCGATCGGTTCAAATGTGTTGAACGTATCGGCTGTGCCGATCTATGGTAGCGATGAAAATAAATAGTAACATCCAGTTCGAATTTCACTGAGTAGGTCATTGACACGCCTATTTTAACCTGATACTGGTCGGTGAAAATGATTTTTTTTTTTATAAATTGTAACATTGTACGTGTGAGCAA